TTTTTTTTTCTTCCGACAAAATTTTTTTTCCATGGAATTTAATTTTTTGACTAATTTTTTTCTTTTTTCCTTTTTTTTCCATTTATTATTTCACTTTTATTTGTGGCCTGTTAGGGACAGATAGGAAAGACACGGAAAGGTGAGTTGAACATGTGTGTGAAATAACAGAACATACATACAATACACAGATATTATTAATCATGAATGAACGTGTCTGGTCCGAATTTATCAGGTTACACTGCGTTCTGATTGTCTTAGCAAAAGTCATAAGTTAGTATTTGTATCAGGAGGAAGAGTTCATCCTAATGTAGATAGGTCACCACAACAGCTTTTTTATCACAAAGTTCGTGTCGTTAGATTCTACAGCCATTAAAGGCGAATCAAAGATAAAATCTTTTTCGAAATGTCTACCCAATACAAAGCCCAAGAGACACTCAAGGTAGATGGTTACTGAGTGAAGTTGCTGTATGGACGTAAGAGGAGGAAATCCATACTCGATTTAAATAAATAGATAGATAGATAGATATTGACAGGTAGATAAATATAGATATATAGGTAGATAGATACATACAGGCAGATAGAGAAATACTGATACATAGGTAGTGGCAGACAGATACATAGACATATAGATAGATACTGACCGGCAGATAGATAGATAGATAGATATACTGAAAGTTAGATAGTTGGATAGATACTGACAGCCAGATAGAGAGATAGATACTGAAAGTTAGATAGTTGAATAGATACTGACAGACAGACAGATAGATAGATAGATAGATAGATAGATAGATAGATACTGTAAGTTAAAAATAGTTGGATAGATAGTGACAGCCAAATTGGAAAATAGATAGACAGCCAGATAAAAATAGATAGTTGGATGGATGACAGCCAGATAAAATAGATAGTTGGATACTAGATGACAGCCAGATAAAAATAGATAGATAGATAGATAGCCAGAAAAATAGTTAGATAGTTTGGATAGATAGATGACGGCCAGATAAAATAGATAGATGAATGCTGAGTTAGATGATTGGAAAATAGATAGATAGATACTGAAAGTTAGATAGTTGGATAGATAGTGACAGCCAGATAAAAATAGATAGATAGATAGATACTGACAGCCAGATAAAAATAGATAGATAGATAGATACTGAAAGTTAGATAGTTGGATAGATAGTGACAGCCAGATAAAAATAGATAGATAGATAGATACTGAAAGTTAGATAGTTGGATAGATAGTGACAGCCAGATAAAAATAGATAGATAGATACTTAAAGTTAGATAGTTGGATAGATAGTGACAGCCAGATAAAAATAGATAGATAGAGAGATAGATAGATACTGAAAGTTATATAGTTGGATAGATACTGACAGCCAGATAAAAATAGAGAGATAGATAGATACTGAAAGTTATATAGTTGGATAGATACTGACAGCCAGATAAAAATAGATAGATAGATGTTGCTGATGTCAAAAAAACTCAGTGGAATAAAATGTTCATCGACACTATTATTATTAGCATACTAAAAATTTAACACGTGATCTTCAATTTTATGGAAGATTTTTTTTCTTTCCGTGTCTGTAGCTGCCAAGAATCAATTTGTTGTCAGTGCGTACATATTTATGTGTGACGTCTTGTCGTAGATTTTTCTTCAATTGGCGCTGGCTTCCGCTGATGCCTTTCATAGTGAGCATGTGCAACGGGGACTTCCGGAGGTACAGTCATCTTAAACCGATTAAAAGAAATAGAAAAAATACACTGACTCTTGCTTTCTTTTGTGGGAGAACCTCGCCTGGTGCAGAAGAGCAGCCGTTTTCGTATCCATCAAACTTACAAGGAAATTAATAAAAGAAAAGAGACTCTTTACTGAAATACATTATGGGTAACGCAAGGAGCCTGTCTTTGTACTTCCTATGTATATGTATGTGTGGATTTGTAAGGACAAAGAAATGATTTTAATTGGTCCTGCTGCATGGTTTGGTGATGTATGCATAAAGGAAGTTTTATACGTTATAGTTTAATGTAATTTCTCCTGATAAATAAGTGAAACGATCGATGTAAATATATATTTGCGAGTTAATAATGTGTTTGGAGTGCGTACGACGACGCAATTTTATAAGAGAAACAAAAAGCATCGTGACAGTGGTCCCTTTTGTACAGCTATTAATATATATATATATATATATATATATATATATATATATATATATATTAAGTACATCTTCTTAATAAATAATTATACAACAAATTTATTGATAGTCAGGAACGTGACTGCCATATAATAAATTTTACTTTTTGATAGCATAAACTTTCTCCCTCTATTTCATACGCGTGCATAAATACACACACACACATCATAGATCTCTCGAATTTTTTTTTTATATTTGTGCAGTTCCGTATCGAAACGTAAATCATAGTATTGAAACATGAAAACTTTTGTGTAACGATTTAAAAATGCTTTTATTATAACCTCTTATAATACTAATATTTTGCTATACTTTGTATTGATCCCTTTTAAAAAACGTAAATGCTTCGAACATTGGATTTTAATCCATTCTTTCTTATATATATATATATATATATATATATATATATATATTAATAAAAAATATTAGTATTATATTTTTATTATAAGAAGTCATAATAAAAACATTTTTAAATAGCTACACAAAAGTTTTCATGTTTCAATACTATGATTTACGTTTCGATACGGAACTGCAAATATGAAAAAAAAATTCGAAAGATCTATGACAGGAGAAATGTGATTTGAAAGCATTAATTTTGTCCTCATTGACTGACTACTATTTTGTGTGTTCTGGTTAAAAGGCGTGCTGGGCTAAACGGTAGCTCCCTCTGTACTGAAAGCCGCGGCTTCAATTCATGCAAATTCGGCACAAATTGTTGTTTAATAAGATTTCTCAAACATTCAAGCCGAAAAATACCAGCAATAAATAAATTACCAGCAAGAGATTTTTGTAAAAAGAAAGAATTACTCGAGCTCCCAAGAAGATCAAGTTTCGGCATTAAATGACCTATAAGGAGTTGATATGCCGTTAAACAAACAAACAGCAGTTGTTGACGCAATCTAACAAAAGTTATCGTTGGATTAACTGAAATATGTTTTGATCCATCATCTTTCATATTGAGCGGTTGACAAATTTGGCTATCGTACTGACCAGAAAAGTTTATCAAATAATGTTGAGCAGTACGGACATCATGTGCACAAGAACTATGATGCATGTTTTTTAAGTGTCTACTCAAATACGTGTATCTACTAGAAATAATATTGGATTAAAAATAAAATCCATTACTTCTTTAGAACACACACACACATATATATCATAATTCATCGAGTCTAGAACTGGAATCCTCAACAGAAAGCACTGGACAGCCGTTTCGTCCTTTTTGTGATTCATCATAAATATATGATATTCGCTCTGAAGAACCGTTAGGGGAAACCTAATTAGGTAGTTTCTGGCTCACTGGGATATTTTTTGCGATCGACTCAGATGTTTTTAGTCTATTCTTCTTTTGTTTTTTTAATTTTTCCCCAGATACCAGTTTGTTTAAATATATTTTTATTTGCAAATAGTACTATCCGTTTTTTTTAATACCAGTCAGTATAGATATTAATATAAACATAATATATATATATGTGTGTGTGTGTCTACCCACATTGATGAGCTGCGATACAGCAAAATAGTTTGTCTGTATATATATATATATATATATATATATATATATATATAAAAAAATAGTTTAAGTGTGCTTTATTTATGAGATGAAGTGCTCAATATCAGAGATAGAGCGTATGTAAATATAAATATAAAAGTGAACATTGAAGTCAACCCTCAGAGGCGACAGGCTCTTTCATACTAGACACAGCTGTCAGGGTAGACACGGTGGAATAATGGGTAGTGGCTCGGATTGAGGAATCGGGGAGCCGACTTCGCATTCCAGTCGAATCCATTATATTCACTTACGTTCCCTTGGGAAATGTATATAGATAGATAGATAGATAGATTTAAAAGCTTTCCAAATGAATTACTTTGATTAGTGAATAATTCACTATAGGAATCGAACTTGCAAAATATGCAAATCTAGTTTGCTAATTGTTAGCGATCTGTTTATTTCTACTTGGTATTTGCTATGCTTGATTTGGCCTGTTTCATGGTCACAGTGGTTGCGACCCATGGGAATAGAACACATAACACAGTCAAATCTAATTTGCTAATCATCACAATATGGTAAACACTATGTGTGTTTTGATGTAGCATTTACTAATCTGAATAAGAACCACAATCATTAGCCAGGATCGAACTATCAAGGCTACCAATGATCTGCGTGTGCTGGCTATCACTCTACGACACGCGCCTTGTATGTATCTGCGAAAATATTCAGCAAGCTTGGATTATTGTAGCAGAAGGCTCTAACCATGAAGCAGAATCGCACAATTCAACACCGGTAACGACCTGTGAGACTATCTCTCTGCGACAGGTGCCTACGCCTATGCTTGATCATGCGTGAGTCGGCTTATCGGTGTAAATAGGTGCATGTGGATGTCATGGCATATTTACATAAATCGTCTCGCAAGTAAAGTATCAATGTGAATTTACTAGACACAAGGCCAATTGTCAGAGATACGAAGGTCCCTCGAAACACATAAATCTGCGCAAAGCAAACACCTGCACTGTCTCTGCACCAGTACCGCGAACAGTCCGCAACGGCTGGGGTTATCTGGAATTAAGAGATGGGAGAAAAGGAAAAAAAGAACGAAGAGAAAGGAACAACAACAACAAAAAAATGGTATCGTATCAGTGGAAGGGAGAAAAGTAAGAAAGAGAGGCGTGATTGTTGGTAGAAGCAGAAACAGAATTAATGGTGGGATGAGTTGAAATAATGATGTTGAAAAGTACAAAATGTTCTCGGACTGGAATAGATTACAACTAAGAATAAAAAGCGGAAATAACCGATGGTGGAGAGGTGGCTGCAGAAAGAAGAATTATTATTATTATTATTATTATTATGTCTCATATATCTTGTACCTCTTAGCCGTGTCTCTTCAGGATCTGAGCGATTATAGCTCTCCACAACTTCCTATCCATTGTAGCCCTTAACAAAGTTTGTCTTTTTGCTATATCTCCTAATTCTAGTTTTGCCAACAATTTTTCCCTCTTTTTTCCAACCCCTCTTTCCTCGTTATATGCCCTAGAAATTTCAACTGTCCTTTTCTAGAGATGTCATCGAGAGAGAAACAGACTGACAGATAAAGAATAAAATTAAAGATTAACCAAGAGGATATTTTTGTTTGTATTCTGAGATGAGAAGCTATCCTTATTTACACGCGAATTATTTTTCCTTCTTTGCTGTCGTTATTACAACGTTTCAGCCGATGTGCACTCCTGACTTCGTCAGGGAATTTCGAACTGAAAATCGAGCCACAATGGCGAATTCGTAGCAATCGACACATTTCTTCCAAAAATTGTTTTGACGAGTATCCTTATCTTCTTTGGTTTGACCCTCTTGACTGTTACTCTCCCAGGCCTGTCTCGTTTAATCATATCAATGAACCAAATCTGAAATTTTCTACATGTTCTCACATCTTTATATGATAAATTAGGTTCTTCTTCTTCTATGTGGCGTTTCCCTTAAAGACGTGAACGACCATGGATCTCTACAAATTCCTATCCTTTGTAATTCTTAGTAAGTCTAATCTTTTCACCATTACAAATCTCTGTTCAACCATCTACTTATACAAGTTTGTTAGGTAGCATAATAGCTTTTTCCCTCTTTTCTTCTTGCATATAATTTGTCATGTGAGTGTCAAATTCTCTAAACCGTCTTTCCCCATTATGTATCCCACCCATAACACTGTTAAGTCTATGAGTCTGGTATCTAAATCCTAGAAAATGTACAATTCGATGTTCGTGAAAACTGGCAAAGAAAGACGTAGTTTGATGGACTTTAAGGAACTGAATTCGAGATAGAAATTGCTTCTAATTTCGCCTGAGAATACTACTTGGAGAAGGCATGAAACCACGTCTTTCTGAGTTCTGTCCCATCCCATCCTATCCTATCCCATCGCTTTATATCTGAACAAAATATCTCCTAACTAGTACTCCACGATAGAAGAGAGAGAAGAGAGTTTGCCACTGATCCTTTAGACAAGCCTTTTTTTTAAAATTTTTTTAAAAATTTTTTAAAAAAAATTTTTTTCTTTTTTAAATTTAATTTTAAATTTTTTTTTTGGGGTTTTTTAAAAAAAAAAATTTTTAAAAAAAAAAAATTTTTTTTTAAAAAAATTTTCTTTTTAAAAAAAACCTTTAAAAAACCCAAAAAAATTTTAAAAAAAAATTTTTTTTTTTTTTTTAAAAAAAAATTTTTTTTTTTTAAAAAAAATTTTTTTTCCCTTTTTTTTAAAAAAAAAAAAAAAAAATTTTTTAAAAAAAATTAAAAATTTTAAAAAGGAAAAAAAAGGGTTTTTTAAAAAAATTTTTTTTTAAAAATAATTTTTTAAAAAAAAAAAAAAAAATTTTTTTTTAAAAAATTTTCCGGTTTTCCCCTTTTTTTAAAATTATTTTTAAAAAAAAAAAAAAAATTTTTTTTTAAAAAAAAAAAAAAAAAATTTTTAAAAAAAAAAAAAAAAGGGGGGAAAAACCCAAAACTTTTTTTTAAAAAAAAATTTTTTTAAATTTTTTTAAAAAAAAAAGGGAAAAAAAGGGGGAAATTTTATTAAAAATTTTTAAAAATTTTTTAAAAAAAGGGGAAAAAAAAAAAAAAAATTTTAAAAAAAAAAAAAAAAAAAAAAAAAAAAAAAAACCCCCCTTTTTTTTTAAAAAAACCCCCTTTTTGGTTTAAAAATTTAAAAAAAAATAAAAAAAAAAATTTTTTTTAAAAATTTTAAATTAAAATTTTTTTAATAATTTTTTAAAAAACCTTTTTTTTTAAAAAAAAAAATTTTAAAAAATTTTAAACCCTTTTTAAATAAAAAAAATTTTTAAAAAAAATTTTTGGGGTTTTAAAATTTTTTTAAAATTTTAATAATAAAAAAAAAAAATTTTTTTTTTTGGGTAAATTTTTTTTTTAAAAATTTTTTTAAAAAAAAAAAAAATTTTTTTTAAAAAACAATGGGAAAAAAAGGGGATTTTTTTGGGTTTTTTAAAATTTTAAAAAAAAAAAAAAATATTTAAAAAAATTAAAAAAATTTTTTTTTAAAAAAATTTTAAAAAAAAAAAGGGGGAAAATTTTTCCAAAAAAATTTTTTTTTTTTTTTTTTTTTTTTAAATTTTTTTCCCCTTTAATTTTAATTTAAAAAAATTAAAAAAAAAATTTTTTTAAATTAAAATTTTTTTTAAAAAAAATTTTTAAATTTTTTTTTAAAAAAAACCCCGGTTTGGGGTTTTTAAAAAAAGGGGGAAAAAAAAAAAAAAAATTTTTTGGGGGAAAATTTTAATAAAAAAAATTTTTTTTTTAAAAATTTAAGGGTTAAAAAAAAAAAAATTAATTTTTTTTGGGCCCTTTTTTAAAAACCTTTTTTTTTTTTTTTAAAAAATTTAATTTTTTTTTTTTTTTTAAAAAAAAAAAAAAAAGGGGGAAAAAAAATTTATTTTTTTTTAAAAATTTTTTTTAAATTTTTTTAATAAAATTTTTTAAATAAATTTTTTTTTAAAAATTTAAATAAAAAAAATTTTTTTTTAAAATTTTTTAAAAAATATTTTTAAAAATTTTTAAAATTTAACCCCATAAAAAATTTTTTAAAAAAAAAAACCCCAAAAAATTTTTTCAAAAAAAAACCCCCCTTTTTAAAGGTTTTTTTTTTTAAAAAACAAACCCCCTTTTTAAAAATTTTTTTGGAAAATTTTTTTTTGGGGTTTAAAAAAAATTTTATAAAAATTTTTTTAAAAATTTTTAAAAAAAAAAAATTTTTTATAAATTTAAATTTTTTTAAAAAAATTTTTTTTTATATATTATATATATATAAAAAAAAAAAAAAAAAAATTTTTTTTTTTTTTTATATTTATATTATTTTTTTTTTTTTTTAAAAAAAGGGGGGGTTTTTTTTTTTTTGGGTTTTTTTTTTTTTTTTTTTTTTTTTTTTTTGGTGTGTTTTTTTGTTTTTTTTTTTTTTTTTTTTTTTAAAAAAAAAAAAATTTTTTTTGGGGGGGGGGGGTTTTTTTTTTTTTTTTGGTGTTTTTTTTTTTTTTTTTTTTTTTTTTTTGGGGGGGGGGGTGTTTTTTTGTTTTTTTTTTAAAAAAATTTTTTTTTTGGGGGTGTTTTTTGTTTTTTAAAGGTGTTTGTTTTTTTTTTTTTTTTTTTTTTTTTTTTTTTTTAAAAAAGGGTTTTTTTCAGTGTTTTTTTTTTTTTTGTTGTTTTTTTTGTTTTTTTTTTTTTTATTGGTCAAGCAAATTCAAACAAAACATTGTTTACAATCGTTATGAGTCTATCGATTGGTGAATAGAATCTTATTATAAACAATTGTCTTGTAAATGGAATTTTAAAGCATTCTGAATGTAAATAAAGAAAAAAAGTGTACAAGACAATAAGAAATACTACCTGCTGGAAAAAAGTGGCTGAAATGTAAAAATCCGATCCCATATATAAAGGAACACACACACGCAAACAATCTGGGTTTTTAACCTAAGTCACTCCCACGGAATCGTTAAAACATAGAGCATGAATCTGATGAAAAAGACACTTAAGTTTATGAAAACAAATTTTATCGTCAAAATGCTTGTGTTTTTTTATGAAGAGGATAGACTAAATTTTTTAATTATTTTTAAAATTTTTCCATCTTTTTAGAATATTCTAAATTTTGATTTAAAAACCTTGTTTTCTCTTTATGTAACAAAGGGTAGTAAATAATATAGATAATTTTTAGTAGCGTTTTTTTGTATTTACACTCATTAATTTGGAAAATCTTGCAAAATAAAATAATTGTCAGATGTTAATGAAACTTTCAGAAACCATTCACAGATGATGGAAATTATTATAAATATGTTTTTTTTTTATTAAATCATGGCAGAAATATTTTTTTATATTTATTAACAACCCCATAATTAATTTTATGAAAAAACTCTAGAAATTCGAGACCATCGGTTTTAGTGATTACAATAATTAAAAGCACAAGGCTTTGAAGAATGCAAATCATGTTTTTTTTTTTTTTTTTTTTTTTGCCAACGTACCTGAAAATCAGCTGTGAATTGTAACATACAAAACTCAATAAAACAAATATATTATATAGTTTCAAATGCTTTTATTTGTTTTAATTTGTTTTTTATGAATATGGACAATATTTTCTGAAAGCAAAAAATTTTTTCAATGAAAATTTTTTTAATACAATTATTTCTTATTTCTTTAATTTTAAAAGATTTTTTAAAAATGTTTAAATTGAATTTTTAAAAATATTTTAACATTAGTTAAATAAAAGCAACATCAACCTTTCAAAATGTCCGTGTGAGATTGTCATTGTCTAGCGGTTTGAAAATTGTATAATTTGGACCAATCAGATTAGCCATGGTAATTAAGAAATGTAATTTTTGTGTTTATATTCGGACAGTAATTATCAAGTACGGAAGACCAACCAGAATACAATTTAGTTGCATTATTTGAGTTCAGCATTGTTCTCCGCTGTTAAGCCCTTTACTTTTGCGAAACACGTATGGAGAAGTTAATTTGAGTTTTCAATTTCAACTGAGAAGGTACCTACAAGTAATAGTATCATCTTATGAAATTTAACTACTGCTAAACTTTTTAATTTATATGATCTTATTTTTATATTAATCTCAGTTATGACATTTTTCCATAAATGAAATATCAAAATTAATAATAAAATGAATGGAAATACAAATAACACAGTAAAATGTAATAAATGTACATAAAATTATAGTTTTTTTATGTACTTCTGATAAAATTTCATAAGAAAGGTACCTAAATTAATTAGATACCTTTTTCTTATGAAATTTAATCTCACTAAACAGTCTTATTTTTTAATTCCTTTATATTTTCCATAAAGCATCGTAAACATAAAAATGAAAAGCTAAGTACAAAAAAAAAAAAAATAAAAATTAGAGCGCTGAAAGTTTTCCTTAAAAAAGTAACAAAGTAAATAATTTGTTCATTCACTAAATAATTTCACTTCCTTCCATCCGTAGAAAGATTCTCCTCCCGTAAGTTATCTAAACGTCATGAATGTGCCTTTCGTCAATCGTCAAGCGACGCGAAAGATTATGACCTGCTTTTTTTTTATTTTCAAATTACATTTTTCGGCGCAGAAGCTAAGTTAAGCTTGGTTCAAAATATTTTAAATAAACAGTATAATTTCTGTTTTATTAAAATCAGTTTTGAAAAAATGATAATTGATTTTTAAAAAATATCAAAGTAAGATTTTAATCTTTTTTTCAAATCGAAAAAAATGATTGAAAATGATTGATTATCTGTCCTTTTTTTGACCAAAAAAAAACAATATTTTTAACGAAAAATTTCAGACGTGCTAGGAACGATTAAAAAATGTAAAAAAAAATACCCCAAAATACTTTGATCTTTCCTCTTTAATAATAATATGAACATTAGACGATAAAATTTTGTTTTCGTCAAGTTCAGCTTTTTTCATCATGCTATGCTCTTTTGTTTACATTTTCGTGGGTGAGTTGTCCCCTTTCATTCTCACGATGTGTCTTTAATCGTGTTTTCAAATTGATTTTATTAAAAAACAACTGTGTTTTCCCATTTTCGTCCCCGTTAGAACCACCAAAAGGTAATTTTATGTAGTCCTGTGAAGTTTTGTTGAAATCGGATAAAAAATATAAAAATTCGATCCAACACAAACGTTACAGACACACACACACACACAATCTACGTTTTATAATAAGTAAGATATATATATATATATATATATATATATATATATATATATATATATATATATATATATATATATATATATATATATACATATATATGTCTATATATTTATATATCTTGGTCAGCATATATATATATATATCATATATTGATATATATATACTAATTAATGCAATACAGATATGGGGTATACATAAATATATTTTCATATATTTTATATGGAAAATATTGGGGTTTTATATTTCATCAAATACAATGCTAAAGAGAACCGAAAAGAAAATATCCAATATTTATAAATGACCATATATATATTTATTAATGTGCCATATATAGCATTCTGAGTTTTTGGATAAAACTGAGAATTTATTTTTTCAGATTAAATAATCTGGTTTACTCAAAACGTGACCATTATATAGTAGCTGATGTACCATATAAGTAAACTCTAAATTTTGGATATCTGATGAAATAGATGAATGTTTTCAAAATAATGCGATAGTTTTTTTTGTTTTATCTTTGTGACTCACACAAATGTTACCAAATACTATCATAGAATATTTTAAATATTATATATTACAAGTTTATAAAAAAAGACTCCTTCAGACGCAATTTTTCCATCAACCATTTTTCAACAACAAATTTTTTCGATTGAATTTCCATTCTTCAAAGAAAAAGATGATAATACCATTCCCAGTTAACTTATACATTTTCATTGAATGACAGAATCATCTTTACAAAGATATTTGAGACTCTTCAAAACTCAATAAAACCTTGTGTCTTAATGGTTCTCAGTTCCCCTATAGTAAAATTGTTTTTTTTAATTTTATGGCCACGGACATGCAATCAATTGGAACTAACTCCCCGAAAAAAAACCACATATTAATTATACCACCTCACATCCAATCTTTACAGTGTTTAAAATGCTTGTACACATCTATTTTATGAGGGAGTTAAGTAAATTAAGATTCAATTAAACAAGAAAAAGAGTTACAACTTTCAAATTTTTTTAATAATGCACGAAAGCCAATTCGTACTAATAAAAATTACACTATAATATTTCATGATATTTTTGTGTTCATAAATGCATCTGTTAAATGAGATTCTTTAATTTCATTTTTGAGATTTAGAGACATTTTAAACCCAACCGACTCATTTATATAATATATATATTCATATATATATATATATATATATATATTTATATACATTTTACAAATTTTCTTTGTGATACCTGCATTTGAAAGAGATAACATTATTTTTCATGTTTTAAAAAATTTCTTCATATTCCAGCCTATGTTTTATTGAGCACTTGTTCTTCAAATGTTTGATTCGAACTCCTTTTTAGAAACCTCTAAACATAAAACCAGTTTTTCTTTTGACTGTTTCCAATTTCTATTGTTTTTTTTTTTTCTATATTTTATTATTATTTTTTTTATTATATTATATATGAAATTTATATATATATATATATATATATGTATATATATATACAAATGAGAGAAAAAACAGATGAAATAAAATTCCGGGAGTTCATAGAATTTTACTTTTTTAAATCACATTAATACACATAAATATTTCAACATGTTTTTATTTTTGCCTAAAATAAAATAATATATATATATATATATATATATATATATATATATATATATATATATAATTACTGTGTAATTTTAAGATAACATTTAAAAATGTCGATAAGTTCATTAATCTCCTTTTTTTTTGTAAGAATAATCCTTTTGTTTAAGGAGGAAATTCCTTTCCAATTTGTCCAAAGTTCATTTCAGATGAAATTAACCAAACAATCTTTGACCGAAATTCTTTTATCTGAAAAGGATTATTCTAAATAAAAAAATTGAAAAGTTTTCTAAACAAATATAATGTCTTGTTGTCTTTAATTTTTGCCTTAAAAGAAGAAATAATGATAAATATACTTAAGAATTCTATATATTTAAATGTTTGATTAATATAATGAAAACAATTAAAATTTTTATCAAATCTGATTAAAAAATATTCTTTTCAATGAATCAAAATCCCAATGACAAGACCTAAACAAAAGAACTGTATTAAAATAACTCTTAAGTACGTCTCTTTCTTGAGGTTTTGTGAAAAGCTAACACAAATTCTCATTAAAATGAGCACCCACCTCGTTTCGTGATTCGGGCAAACATGACACTGGCTACAAAGTGCATCTAAAAAATGCAACCTGTTTGTTTTTTATCTCCAGAGAAACAGTACTTTCAAAAAAAAATTTTTAAATAATTAAAACATATCCTATGTTTCCGATTTGCTGTTCCGATATCCTCGGATTATCTCCCTTGAGCCTAATTTAAAATAATAAAATATATCAGAATATTTTTTTAGACCGTTTTATCTTGAGTTTTAATTACAATCAGGTTAGATGCTAAGGCGATGAAACTCCTTCCTGAAAACTAATTGAAGACAACGAATAGAAAATAACTTCTTTGTGCTGAAAGAAAAGATAAAGTTATCGTTACCAATGCATTATAAACGTCTGGTTATTTTCATAATTTATGAGAAGTTTGTCATCAAGGACTGATCTAAGGTTTCATTTGTCACCTTGGCAATTGGCAAGACTAATTGTATCTGGCATGAGGATCAATCTAGTGATAAACAAAAAAGTAACAACTTCCTCTTTCGCAAAACAGTCACCCCAATAATCCAAGAAAAACAAATAGACGAATTAAACAAACATTGTTATAGTATGCTGATAAATCTTTAAAAAAAAACTGTTTTCCCGTCGTTATTCATGCAAGGCTAAACCCTGTCCCTTCATGAAACTGATGGAAATGTAAATGTAACACAATGCCGGCAGTTATTTGTATTTCTCGGATCGAGGCGTTTATTTAAGGGGAACTTACGGGTGTCCATCACAGAAACCTGTATGGGGTCGGGTTGCCGGTGGTTGCGAAGTTTTCTTCAATACGGACCCGTAAAACTGCCGCCCGGGCCGAGTTGTGGAAAGCCCACTAACTGGGAACGACGCCAAAAACGATATTTGCTTAGCGATAAAAAACAAATCGTTCAAGAGAGATAGCGTATTGAGCCTTAATTGGCCATTGGTGATTTAAGTGGAAGGAAGGGATTACTCAGAGGTCTCCAAATGCCCATCGGTAATTAGAGAAAGCGGTTAGAATTACAGCATGTAGAATCTGGACACTTCGTGGGGTGTATTGGGTCCCAATTGATTTAATGCCACTTGTTGGTGATTTTTTATGGATGAAAGGAGAATGTTTTCGAATTTGCAATTATTACTTGCTCATAGGACATTGGATTGGGGACCGAAAGGCTTGAAAAATATTTTAATGCTGACAGTTCCTGGTTTGGTATTAATTTAGAAAAGAATAGATTTCAAGTCGGAGCATGTAAGTGCTATGTCCGAAAAGGAAGATATAAACATTTACTAAATCCATATATTTATTCTTTTCTGTGTGATGTATGTCTTCAGGACTTAGGCAATCTTGACTCTCCAAAATTTCTTGTCTTTTGTCGCCCATAATAAATTTTCTCTTTTCGTTATCTTTCCCAAATCTCGTTCCGCTTGCCATTCACTCGAGCTCACTAAGTAGGTTATGCGTTGGTTCCCTCTGTCCCTGTTGCCTTCAATCTGTCCTATGAGTATCGAATTTTCCGAGTCCTCTTTTCTCATTATGTGCCCTACAAATTGCAACTCTCTCTTTCTGGTGTTAAGTATAATGGTGCTTTTTATTTCCATCTTCTCTAAAACTGCATCCTTGCTCATATGGCATCCTCAGCCTCCTTCTGTAGAACCATATTTTTATTACTCCACGTCTCTTCTTCATCTGTGAGTAGATTGTCCAGCATTCACTGCCGTATAGGTGAAAAAAGTTAATAGAATCAGTGTAGGAAATATCATGGAATCCATATTAACATGTAAAATGATGACTTTTTTGTCGGGTATATGGGATATTGTGTTAAACAAATATATTTACGAGGATAAGTCAGAAATTATCAGCACTTTCACCATAACATATCTTTAAATTTGACACACTAATTTTACTATTGTGGTCATGTATTTGAACTTGATCGCGCGTTTTTAGTTGCTAGTTACTAGTCTTAACATTTAAATCCACTATCAGTGTGTAATCAAGGAAGAGCAAAGAGCAATCTGTTCGGAAAATTCTACCTCATCGATGATAACTCGCTGGTTCGCTATTACCATCTCTCGAGATTGCTAAATCTTGTCGTCAGTTGAGGTTGACGGGCGCCCAGATCTTTCTTCGTGCGTCACTCTTGCCTGGACACTTTTAAACTTCTCAGATCCTTTTTATATGCACTTTGGCATCTTAGTGTATTGTCGCCGTATCGCATTAAAAAATCTTCTTCCGACCAGGAGAAATTGAATCAGACAGTTTTTATCAAGAGAATGCAAAATATTAAGAAAGCGCCATGATTACACTGAACAGCAGACTTGATAACTCGTGAAATTCCATTATTCTAGCTTTTCTAAAAAAAAGAATTTCATTTGCATCTGGTGATGAGATTTTTTCTAATTGTCTTCGACCTCAGGATATTTTAGAGTGTAACAACCAAATGTTCCCTCCAATAGTTAAATTTACTTTTAAGATTCACGCTGTGGTAATTTACTTAAAAAGATTTATTTAATTCCTTGCCACCATATAAAATCAATGTGCCATATTGTTTTAACTAAATGCATCATCAATCGTCATTTTCTTTCTGGAATCATATTCCTTTATTGACCATTTCTTCATTTCTCTTCACTAAAGTCTTCTCATTCTCTTTCACTCCCTGTAATACCCTGAGTTCTTTATCGCCATGCTTGAGGTGAAATGATTAAAAGAAATATTGTTTCTGAGTTTTAATAGTAATAAATAAAAAATAAAAATGTTCCCTCATCATGTTCCTACTTTGAGGTTCGTGGAGATTACATCCTTTAATCAGGAGACTTGATTGTAAAATTTTAGAAGCAAATCTGACGAGTAAATATAATCTACGCGAAGCTTAGAATAGGGGCAATATAATAACCTTGATATCAAGCACTCTAATTACAAACACTTCTATTATACACCGTGTCACTTCGAGAGGGTAGGCGATCATAGCCCACCATATCTCCCTGACCCTTGTTTTTTTTTAAGCATTACGCCCCGAGCAAGGCGTGAAGCCACTAGGACGCAAGGGGTTAGAGAAGATTTGGAGCGAGAGCAGATAGGAGTGATAGAAGAAAGGATGAGGAGAGGGATAGTGGATAGATCAAGGTAACTGGAGATGTCGATTGACATTACATTTGAATAGTTGGAAATTATAGCTCTCAGGGAAACAGTAATAGGGAAGGGTGTTCCACAGGCGTGAGGTGCGAGGTATGAAGCTACTGGAGTAGAAGAGACGGCTACATTTAAAAGTTTCTACAGTGAAAGCTGTAAGAGCGGGATGCCAGCCTCGTAGGACTTCTCAATATGTATTGTGTTCTTGTTATTTCACCCAAACCCTGTTCTACCATCCATTTACTCAAGCCCATTAAGTATGCTATATGCTATTTGCCTCTGTCCCTCAATCTGTCCTGTGAGTATCAGATTTTCCAAGCCATCCTTCAGTACTTGCCCCAGAAATTTCAATTGCCTTCCTGATGTTAAGTATAAGTTTCCTTTTTGTTTCAATTTTCTCTAAAACCTCATCGTTGCTCACATGTTTGGTCCATGGTATCCTCAGCAACTTTCTGTTGAACCACATTTCTGTTGCTTCAAGTCTCCCCTTCATCTTTGAGGAGATTGTCCAATATTCGCTGCCGTATAGGAGGACAGATATCACGTAACTGTTTAATACTCTTTTCTTTGTTTCTAAGGACATTTTTCTGTCTCTTAATACTCTGCTTAGCTTTTGGAATGCATCTTTGGCGATCCCAATGCGCCTTCAGATTTCAGTCTTTCTGTCTTCCCAGATATTTAAAATTTTGTGCTTGTTTAATTTTAGAATGCTCGAATTGTCATTTGCAATACTTTTGCTGATAACACATGCATTCTGACTTCTTGTAGCTTATACACTATTTGCCTTAAAAACGTTATCTTCCAGAAATACTCCTGTCAATAATTTTCCCCAAAGGAAAAGGTCGACAAATTTTCTTTGCTATATTCTTTCAAATAAAATGTGGTGATTGTGTATATTTTGCTAATACTTGAAATCAAGTTTAGGGTCTTTATTTCCTATTCTTCTTTCTTTCTACGTGCCGTGTCCTTTCACGACGTAGGCGATCATGGCTCTCCACTTCCTTCTATCCCTTGCAGCTCTTAAGAAGTTCCTTCGCTCTGCCACCTCCCCCAGACCATGTTCTGTCATCCACTTGCTTAATGCCGCTAGGTATGTAATGCGTTGTTTTCCTTTGTCTCTCTTACCTTCTGTTCGACCCGTGAGTATCAGATTCTCCAGACCCTCCTTCCTCATTATGTTTGCAAAGACTTCATCGTTGCTCACACGCTCGGTACATGATATTCTTAGCATCCTTCTGTAGAACCACATCTCCGTCTCGTAGAGTCTCTTCTTCATCTTTGAGGAAATCGCCCAACATTTGCTGCCGTAAAGAAGGACAGATGCCACGTAACAGCTCAGTATTCTTTTCTTTGTTACCAAAGAAATCCTCCTGTCTCGCAATACTCTGACCAGCCTCTTGAATGTGACTTTGGCCGTCCAAATACGTCTATGGATCTCAGTGTCGCATTTACCGTCCTCTGTCAGAACGCTTCTGTTGTAATAACCCACCTACAGTAGAATGAACTCTTCCTCCTTTCATAAATACTAACGTGTGTGGTCAGTCGAGACGCAGTGTAACCTGATCGTTTTGACGTACACTTCTATCTGCTATTTACTAACACTCATGCTTTGTATATATCTGTTATTTCAATACACTTGTTCAATCTACCTTCTTCTTCTGTGTCTTTCTTTCTGGTCCTCAACAGGCCAAAACAACATCCCAGATATTTAAACTCCAGCGTCTGCTTGATTCTAGTGTTCCCGACCTGCAAATCGCATTTCGCGCTCATGCTTTTATTGATGACCATGCATTCTGTATTTCTCATTCAGCATAGATTTTTTTTTTTTAATCGTAATTCTCGGGGTTTTTTTTTATTTTATATTGAATGGTCAATTTCTGTGTACAATCTTTTATGCTCTAAAGTCCTAATAACTACTCAGTAATACACAAAATATTGGGAAATTTAAACAACTTTCGTATACCATACATACTTTTGCTACTAGCTTTTCTGAGCAGTAAAACCGATGATGTGCGTTGTGGTGTCAGATCATTACGAAAAATCGAAAAGCTGAGAGTTCGAATATCAATCAGGTTTGTTACATTCACTTACGCGCAAAAACTCTATGGAAAGGTTTGAATCCATCTCTTCTCCTATCGGCTATGGGTTGAATAGCAAGACAGACCGGGTCTTACAGTTTTAGCTCGTAACAAGTCTGTAGCAGAAAGAAACGACAACTTAACTGCGGGAAAATCTTCTGCGTAGTTAGTCATGAATCGAAAGAGACATCATCGCCCAAACGTGTATCACGTATGGCTTTTAAATGACTGACTGTTGTTATTATCATGGTTGAATAACAGTGTAGACTTGGTCCTATAGTATTGGTTGGCAACCAGTCCACCACGGAAAGAAATGGCAACCTACTGCGAGAAAATCTTCTGCGTAGTTAGTCATGAATCGAAAGAGACATCATCGCCCTAACGTGTATCACGTATGGCTTTTAAATGACTGACTGTTGTTATTATCATGGTTGAATAACAGTGTAGACTTGGTCCTATAGTATTGGTTAGCAACCAGTCCACCACGGAAAGAAATGGCAACCTATAGCGAGAAAATCTTCTGCGTAGTTAGACATGAATCGAAAGAGACATCATCGCCCTAACGTGTATCACGTATGGCTTTTAAATGACTGACTGTTGTTATTATCATGGTTGAATAACAGTGTAGACTTGGTCCTATAGTATTGGTTGGCAACCAGTCCACCACGGAAAGAAATGGCAACCTACTGCGAGAAAATCTTCTGCGTAGTTAGTCATGAATCGAAAGAGACATCATCGCCCTAACGTGTATCACGTATGGCTTTTAAATGACTGACTGTTGTTATTATCA